GCTTAGGCGGGGCAAACCCTTCTGGGTTTCCTTAAAGAGGTTGGCGCTGCTGCTGTTACTGCGAAGCAGCAGCAGCAGCAAGAGCTGGATCAGCAAGAACAACAGCAGCAGCAACATCAAGAGCATAGCGAAAAGCAACAGCAAGACGAGCAGCAGCAGCAGCAGCAGCATCTGCAGCTGCAGCAACAGCAGCAGGTACGGCTGCAGGTACGTGAGGCAGCAGCAGTTTTGGAGCAGCAGCAACATTCAAAGGAGAATTGCCCGCGGTTAGTAAAGCTGCTGTTGCTTCTACTGCTGCTGCTGCTGCCGTTGCGCTCCTGCTGCTGTGGCTGCTGCTCCATTTCTTGCTGCCAGCGCTCTTGCTGCTGCTGCTGCTGCAGCGGCAGTCGAGAGAAGATGATGGCCTGCAGCGGGTGCTGCTGGTGGTACTTTCCACTCTGGAAAATCTCTGTGAGGAGGAACAGTGAGCGCTGCTGCCGCTGCTGCTGCTGCTGCTGCTGTGTTGGTGCTGCTGCTGGTGAGCTGATGTAGTATTGCCAGCGTTGCTGCCCCCTTCCTGCCTCTGCTGCCGTTCTGCTGCTGCTGCTGGTGATGATGCTGACTCTTTGGCTGGGCTCTCCTGTAGCTGATTTGCTGCTGCTGCAGCCGCCCTTGCTGCTGCCGCTGCTGCTGCTGCTGCTGCTGCAACTGGCGGTCTGGTGCCGCTGCTGTAGCTCGCAGGGTTGCTGTTGCGCACTCTCTAGCTGCAGCAGCAGTTTTGGCGGTCTGCTGCTGCAGCACTGAGGCGCAACTTTCTCAGAAGGGTCTTGCTGCTGCTCTCCTGCAGCTGCTGCTGCTTCAGCAGCAACAGCTGCAACAAGCCACTTTGCAGCTGCTGCTGCGGCTGGCAGCTTACAGAGTCAACAAAGATGCCTTAATTCTGGCAGGTGAGGAGCCTCTTCTATGCAGCGTGACGAAAGCCAGCAGCAGCAGCAACAGCAGTAGCAACAGCAACAGCAGCAATACCAGCAGCAACAGCAGCAGCAGCAACAGCAGCAGCAGTTCAGTTAGTGCATATCTCACACATGTTTGTGCGTGCGGCTCTTGAGACGAGCAGATGCTTGCCCCTTGCTGTGTACATTGCTGGCCAGCAGCAGCAGCAGCAGCAGTAGCAGCAGCAGCAACAGCCGCAGCAGCCGCAGCAGCAGCAGAAGCAGCAGCAGCAGCAACCAGTTATTGCTGCTGCAGCTGGTGCGTGTACTGGCGCATGATCAAGAGGCGAGGAGACAGTTCTTGCGGCGGGGCCTCATCCAGGTCCTGGCTCAGCTAGCAGCTGCAGCAGCAGACCCAGAAGCAGCAGCAGCAGCAGCAGCAGACGCAGCAGCAGATGCAGAAGAAGCAGCAGCCGCAGCTGAAACAGCAGCAATTTCAGAAACCCAACATGTAAGCAGGATTGGAATGCTACAACGTAGTCTAAATAGGACCATACTGTAGCAGCTATCTAGCTATCTAGCTAGCTAGCTATCTAGCTAGCTAGCTATCTAGCTAGCTAGGTAGCTAGCTAGTAGCGATCTAGCTAGCCAGCTCGGTAGCTAGTTAGTCGGGCAGGTAGCTAGCTAGCTAGCTAGCAAGCTAGCTAGAAAGCTAGCAAGCTAGCAAGCTAGCTAGCTAGCTAGCAAGCTAGCTAGAAAGCTAGCAAGCTAGCAAGCTAGCTAGATAGCTAGCAAGCTAGCTAGCTAGCTAGCAAGCTAGCTAGCTAGCTAGCTGGCTGGCTTAGAGTGTAGTTGCCCAATCAGCTAGCCGGCAGATTAACCTGTTACTCGCTTGGCTAGCCAGATAGCCTTTCTTTGGCTAGCTGGCCAGGCGGCTAGCTAGCTAGCTAGGCAGCTAGCTGGCTAGCTACGCAGCTAGCCAGCTAGCTAGGCAGCTAGCTAGATAGTTGGGCAGCTAGCTAGCTAGCTAGGCTATTCTCTTCTAAGACTCACATGCTGCACAAGGAGCCTGTTGCTGCTATTTGGGCCCTCAAAGCTGCTGCTGCGGCGTCAGACGGAGCAGCAAGAGCAGCAGCAAGAGAAGCAGCAACAGGAGCAGCAGCAACAGACACATAAGCAACACTTGTTGCAGCAGCAGCAGCAGCAGCAGCAACAGAAGCAAAGACGGCAGCAGCACCTCCAACTCCTCCAGGAGCAGCAGCAGCAGCGGCAGGAGCAGTAATAGAATCTTTCCCAACAACAGCAGCAGACACAGCAGCAGCAGCAGCAGCAGCAGCTGCAATCTTGCTGCTGCTTCTTGTGTGCTGCAGCAAGCTGCTGTTATCAGCGCTCTCCTTAGCGAAGATAAAGAGGGAAGATTGTCTCTTTCTTTTTGTCCTCCGCTAATCTCTTTAGCAGCAAATGTGTTTCTGAACCGCCGAGACACGTACTAACAAACCCTAAACCCTACACCCTAAACCCTAAACCCTAAACCCTAGGCCTCGAAGGGAAAGGGAAGGCGCGGGTGGACCTTCAGCGGGGAGCCTAAAGGTTTCTGGCTCGCACCATATATCTCATCGCATTGCTTACATGCTGCTGCTGCTGCTGCTGCTGCTGCTGCTGCTGTCGCTGCTGCTGCTGGTGCTGCTGCTGGTGCTGCTGCTGGTGCTGCTGCTGCAGGGCTTGTGGGCTTGGCCTGGCGAACATGTGTCTCCACCCCGCGGGTGCTGCGTTGCTGCTGCAGCAGCAGCAGCAAGTTGTGAGGCTTCTTGATGCAGCAGCAGGAAAGTTCGTGGCCATCAGGGGGCCCCTTGGGGGCCCCACAACAGCAGCAGCAAGAGACTGGTGCTGCGCTGCAGCAAAAGTCCTCTACAGAGCAACAGCAAACAAGTCGGCGCTCCCTGCCTTTGCTGCTGCAGTTGCGAGCAGCAGGTTCGACACCCTGCTGCTGCTCCTGGGGTTTAGGGTTTAGGGTTTAGGGTTTAGGGGATGAGGCTTGGGGTGGGGCTTTTAGGCTTTAAAGAGAGCAGCTCTGTGCTGTATAGCGGCAGCACCTCCAGGGTTTAAGGTTTAGCGTTTAGGGCGTAGGGTTTAGGGTTTAAGGTTTAGGGTTTAGGGTTTAGGGTTTGGGGTTAAAGGCTTGCGTTCAGGCCGGATTGGGCCTCTCGCGTGGCCGCTGCTGCTGATACTGCTGCTGCTGCTGCTGCTGTGCTGCCAGAGCTGATTGGCTTGCTAGCCAATTGTTCGCAGCTGCTGCCGCTGCAGCAGCTGCTGCAGGGTCGTTTGCTGCAGTTGCTGCTGCGGTGAGGCCTCATAGCTAGCTAGCTATGGCCCTTCACAGCGTCTCAGCTGGCTAGCTAGCCAGATAGCTAGCTAGCCACCCAGCCACCCAGCCAGCTAGCTAGCTCGCCAGCCAGCTAGCCAGCTAGCCAGCTAGCTAGCCAGCTAGTTAATTAGCTAGCCAGCTGGCGAGCCAGCTAGCCACCTAGCTAGCTAGCCAGCAGGCTGGCTAGCTAGCCAGCTAGCCACCTAGATAGCCAGCTAGCCACCTAGATAGCTGGCTAGCTAGCCCTCTATCTAGCTAAATATTGCCGAGTCTTTACGAAAATTGAATTAGCCAATGTTTCCCTGCCGCTGCTCAACCACTGAGGCAGCTAGCTGGCTAGCTAGCTAGCTAGCTAGCCAGTTAGCTAGCTAGCCAGCTAGCCAGTCGATGGTGGCTAGCTGGGCTGCTTGTGCTTCCTCAGGCTGCTGTGCACTCGCGAAACCCTAGTAGAGACTCGCCTGGAGCTGTGGCGCGTTGTTGCTGCTGCTGCTGCTGATGCTGCTGCTGCTGCTGAGCTGCTGCAGCAGCAGCTGCTGCCCCAGCTGCTGCTGCAGGACTTCCAAAAGCAGCAGATGTACTACCAGCAGCGAATTCACGCTAAAGACGCACACAGGCAAGGGCAGCAGCAGCAGCAGCAGCAACAGCTGCGCCGGCAGCTGCTGCTGAACGAAATGCTGCTTCAGCTTTTTAACGTTGTTAACTGTTTCCTTGCTTCGGAAGCTACAAGGTATTTAAGCAGCTGCAGCAGGACGAAATGTTGCGGGCAGATTGGCTGCAGCAGCAGCAACAGCTGCAGCAGCAAAGCCAGCAGCTAGCGGAGCACCCTCAGCAGCACGGGAAGACCCGGAAGCTCCGGCAACGTGTTGCTGCTGCTGCTGCTGCTGCTGCGCTGCAGAGATTTGATTTTAAGCAATGACGACCTGCTGCAGCAGCTGCAGAACCTTCACATCCACAACGACCCTGTTGCTCAAAAACAGGCATGCGCTATCTGCTGCTGCTGCTGCTGCTGCTGCTGCTGGCGCTGTGGTGCTGCTAATGCATCTGCTGCTTCAGCCGTGGCTCCAGCAGTAGCAGCTGCTGCTGTTATTCTCGTTGGTTGCTGAGCTGGGGTGTATGTACACCTGGACTGTGTTGTGCTGCTGCGCTACTCAGGCAGCAAAGTGTTTCGCTACCTTAGACGTGAGTCTCTGCTGCTGCAGCTGCTGCTGCAGCTGTTGCTGCTGCTGCTGTTGCTCCTGCTGCCGTCGTTACTGCTGCTGTTGCTGCTGTTGTTGCTCCTGCCTCCGTCGCTACTGATGCTGTTGCTGCTGCTGTTGCTGCTGCTGTTGGTGCTGCTGCTGCCTAAAGGCGAAGCACCTCTGTGTCTCTGTTTGCTTTTATAAGTTGCTGCATTTCTCTTTTTTCTCTTTTAAATATCTTTTATTTTATTTCTTTTCCATTTTTTCTGCTCTAGGGTTTAGGGGCTGCTGGTTTTGCTGCTGCTCTTTCTCGCCTCCGCTTCCAAGTGTACAATCGACGGTGGTGGCGCTCCATGCGTGAGGTGTACGTACACCCGAAACCCTAAACCCTAAACGCTAAACCCTAAACCCTAAACTCTAAAGGCAAAACCCTAAATCCTAAACGCTAAACCCTAAACCCTAAACGCTTGTGTTTGGCGTATTTGCGGTGCTGGGCATTTGTCTTATTTTATCCCCCCAAGCGTATCTTTAGATTTTTATTTATGACTTATAATTAATTAATTAATTCATTTATTTATTAATTTATTAATTTATTTATTTATTTATTTAATCCTTTTATTTGTTTTTTCCTTCTATATAGGGCCCCCTATCCACTTGCTGCAGAAGCAGACGCAGAGGGGCCCCCCCCGTATCATTTGCCCACAGAGAACAGTACCTAACTGCAGCAGCAGCAGACACAGCAGCAGCACCAGCAGCTGCAGCCACAGCAGCAGCAGCAGCAGCAGCAGCAGCAGCAGCAGTGGCAACAGCAGCAGCGGCAGCAGCAGCATAAACTGCAGCTCGTCCTGACCACTCTTCCTTAACTGCTACGCTACTAATTGATTTATTGACTTATCAAATGTTTATTATTTATTTATTTATTTATTATTTATTCATTTATTTATTTATTCATTTGTTTATTTATTTTTAATTAATTAATTAGTTTATTTATTTATTTCATTTTAATTGTATTCATTTATGCTTCTCTTCTAGTTGAAGGCGTACTGCAGCGAAGCTGCTGCGTCTTAAATCCTTTTTATTTTTTAATTAGATTAATTTGTCTTTTATTTTTTTTAATTTAAATTAATTTTTTAATTTTTCAATGTTTTAGTTTTTTAGTTTCTTAATTTCTTTCTTTTGTTGCTGGTCTTGAGTACTTCGCTGTTCCTTATTGATTGGATATTATTCATCATTCATTACAAATTTAATTTGATGTTTTTTATTTTATCTTTTAATTATTATTTTAATCTGAAAGAATGGGAGGCATAGAGTGTAGGCCGTAGAGCCAAACCCTAAACCCTAAACCCTAAACCCTGGACGGCGCGGCTGGCGAGCGCCGCGAGCAGCAGCAGCCACCAATTCTGGTGGAAGCGCGGGTTTATTTGTTTAATTGTTTTATTATTTATTTTATTTATTTATTTTAATTATTTTTAAATTATTATTCATTTATTCTTCAAATAGTATTTTATTTCAATCATTTTCGTCGGGCGGCCGCAGCAGCGAGCACTGTCGAGACAGCGCAGTGCCACACAGCCCCGGTGACCTCAAAACCCTGAACCCTAAACACTAAACCCTAAACCCTAAACCCTAATTTCTAAACCCTAAACCCCAAACCCCAAACCCTAAACCCTAAGCGCCAACAGATAAAGAGATTTTGATGGGCAACTGCTCAACTCTCTAATACCTACGGAATGGGCGGAAGCGGACGGGCTGCTGCAGCAGCAGCAGCAGCAAAAGTAGCAGCACCTGCAGCAGCAGCAGCAACAGCAGCAGCAGCAGCAAACACTGCTGCCGAGAGATTCCAGGCTGTCTTAAATGAAGACATTGAGAAGGCTCAGCGACTAACTGACAGAGTGGTCAGCAGCAGCAGCCGCAGCAGCAGCAGCAGCAGCAGCAGCAGTAGCAGCAGCAGCAGCAGCACACATGCAGCTCAGTTTCGGGTGTACAGACAGCCAAAAGGGCCCAAAATACGAACTTTTGAGCAGCAAAAAAAGACAAATATTTTTAACAAATCAAAAGACACTTCACTCTCTTCTTTTTATTTCTTTTCATTTCTTTTATTTCTTTCATTTGTTTTATTTCTTTTATTCGTTTTATTTCTTCTTTTCTTCCTTTTTCTTTTTAAGCCCCTTCAAGTCTTCTTTTTGTCCTTTAATGTCCTTTGATTCTCTTTAACTTCTCCAACCTCTTTTAGTTCCATGTAATTCATTTAATTGACTTTAATTGCTTTAAATTCATTTAATTTTTTCATTTAATTTTTTTATTTTGTTTAATTTTTAATTTTATTTCTACCCAGGCAGCAGTTGAAGTTCGCCATACTTCTCGCCTTTGCTGCACTGATGGCCTTCGAGAAATTCTCACCGACTTCGCCACCGCCGTTCTCCTTTCAAAGCCAGTCAGCTAGCTAGCTAGCTAGCTAGCCACAGCTAGCTAGCCACAGCTAGCTAGCCACAGCTGGCTAGCCACAGCTAGCTAGCCGCAGCTAGCTGTGTCAAGCTAGCTAGCCACAGCTAGCTAGCCGCAGCTAGCTAGCTAGATACACCTAGCTAGCTAGACACAGCTAGCTATATAGATTCACCTAGCTAGCTAGGCACGGCAAGCTAGCCATGGCTAGCAAGCTGGCCACAGATAGCTAGCCACAGCTGGCTAGCCACAGCTAGCTAGCCTTAGCCAGCTAGCCATAGCTAGGCAGTCATAGCTGGCTAGCCATAGGTAGCTAGCCATAGCAGGCTAACCACAGCCAGCTAGTCATAGCTGGATAGCCACAGCTAGCTAGCCATAGTTACCCACAGCTGGAGCTAGCTAGATCTAGCCAGAGCTAGCTACAGTTAGCTACAGCTAGCTGGGCCGCTGCTGCTGCTGCTGCCTCTGCTGCTCAGGATGACATCTTCGAGTTCGCCCGGATTTACTTTTCTGCCTTTGTGGAGACAAAAGATCAAGAACCCCCCATGGCCGCCACCCCAGCTAGCTAGCTAGCCAGCTAGCTAGCTAGCTAGCTAATCAGCCAGCTAGCCAGGCAGCATGTGGCCATGACTAGCTAGCCAGTTAGCTAGCTGGCTAGCCAGATAGGTAGCTCGCAAGCTGCCCAAGCAGCCAGCTGTCTAGCTGTTTCTCCAACTGGCTAGCTAGCTAGCTTGACAGCCAGCTAGCTAGTGATCCGCCCAGCCAGCTAGCTGATGACCAACCGGTTAGCTAGCTAGCTGCTCAGCTAGCTAGCTAGCTGCCCAGCGAGCCAGCTACGCAAATGCCCAGCCAGCTAGCTAGCCAACGATCTGGCTAGCTAGCTAGCTGGTTATCTAACTAGCTAGCTTGTAAGCTAGCTAACTAGCTAGTCGGCTAGCTAACTGGCTAGCTGGCTAGCTATCCAGGAGGGCCCGGGCTCCTAAAAAGCCCCAAAACGTTGCATGCGCCAACTGCATGCAGCTGCTGCATGCATGAACAAAAGAAACATTTTAAAATGAGAAAATCAAAACAAAAGAGATGAGAGGAATTCCGAGGGGCCCCTGGGGACCTCTGAGGCCCCCTGGGGGCCCCCGGGGGCCCCTGGGGACCCCTGAGGCCCCCTGGGGGGCCCCCAGGGGACTTTTGGGATTCCCTGACATTAGGCACAGAAGCTCTGGAACTAATTTCTTGTCAGATAGCCTGCAATAGCAGCTAGCTAGCTGGCCAGCTAGCTGGCTACTCCGAAAATGCAGCTGGCTGCCAAGCCAGCTAGCCAGCTAGCTAGCTAGCTAGCTAGCTAGCTAGCTGGTGAGCTAGCCGGTTGGTTAGCTGGGGAGCTAGCTGGGGAGCTAGCTGGCTAGCTGGCTAGCTAGCTAGCTAATTATCAGGCTGGGTAGCTAGCTAGTTATCTGGCCATTCAGGTGCACGTAGCTGTCACTTAGTGTGCCAACAGGCTTGACAGCGCGGCAGACGTCTAGCTGGCTAGCTAGCTAGTTAGCTAGCTAGTTTACTAGCTTGCTAGCTTGTTAGTTAGTTATTTAGCTAGCTAGCTAGTAGCTAGCTAGCTAAATAGATGGGTAGCAACCGAGAGATAGATAACCGTCCTTCCTACTCAGTCCTTGCCTAGTTGAGTTCTGAGTAGCAGGTCAGCCGGTGGAAGCTAGCTGGCTCGCTAGCTAGCTAGAGGCTAGCTAGCCAGCTGGCTAGCTAGCTAGCTGGCTAGCTGGCTCGGCAGCTAGCTGCATTTGCTGAGCAGCCACCTAGCTAGCTAGCTAGCTAGCTAGCT